ATTAATGGTTTATTCAAGTGGGCAAAATATAATGTACAGAAAGATTGCCCGTAGAGTATCGCTACACTGAAAAGTAAGCAACCGACAGCCTGTATAAAAGGGGGCCTGTGATTGGCTGTTACTTACGCGAGATTTGGACGGGACTTACGTAGGCGTCGGATCAGATGTATGTAGGGCGGAATTAAAAAAAAATCAAAATCAAAGTAAAATAATAAAATAAAAAGGCATTAATAACAAAAGTAATAAAAAATAAAATTAAAATAAGTTTATAGCCAAAATAATTAAAGCCCGTACACTACATCAGATTTTAATCAGATTGGATCTATTAATGATTGTCACAGTCCAAAAATAACTTCTGAAACTTGTACTATACTAATTAACATATTATATTCAGAATACCCCTAACATTAAGGGGGAAATGGCACTAGATAAGCTGTACACTGACACCAATTTGAATTGAACAAGCCATGCATGCCACAGTCCCCGTTAGTTATCAAATTTAAAATATATAGTTTTGTTTATAGTAATATAGCTGGAATATAACCATGACAGGAATATGATTTTTTAACATTAAAATGATTGACAGTTGTATCTGATCGTCAAACAAGTACATGTCCATATTGAGAGATATTGCTCTGGAACAGCATTCAAAATCAGCCATTTTGATTACATGTATATGTATATGTATATATATATAACGTATAACGAATATATAAAATTTAAATATAATAAGTCAAAGCATTTAAGAGATATGGCTCTAGAAGCCCAATCATTAAAACAAAATGGCCGCCAGTCAGGCATTTTGAATCCAATCTGAAAAATAAAATGACGAGCATCAGCAACCCGTAATGTCTAATGTATGTACCAAGTTTGAATGAAATCCACCCATAAATGCTTGATATTTGATGATTTTTTAGCACAAAAATGACCACCATTCGGCCATTTTGAATAGGATAGTCAAATCAATATATCTGTTTATCTATGACATGATGTATAATGAATATTTAAAATTTGAAAATATTATCAGTCAAAACAAGTCGGAGATATGGGTCTAGAAGCCCATTCATTAAAACAAAATGGCCGCCAGACAGCCATTTTGTATCCGATCTGAAAAATAAATGATGTGCATCAGGAACCTGTAATGTCTAATACCGTTAAAGTCCTAATATAAACCGCATACGTAATAGTAACCGCACCCCCAATTCCGGCTTC